AAACAGCTGAACATGAGAGGTTTTTGGACAAAGTTTGTGTTCTCCATTCTTTAAGCACCGGTTCGAGCACCGTTTAAGCACCGTTTCAAAAGTACCGATTTGGCACCGGTATCGGATAAAACCTAAACGATACCCATCCCTAGTGATCTGTGAAGTAAAATGAGTTTGATGGCCCTGGATCACGGATGGATACATGGATCCCGTACGTAGAAGCAGGTGAAAAATATTCTGTCAAAACAGCATACAGCTCGTTGCCATGGCAGCGTCTGCACTTCCCCCTACCTCTTCTGCCACCGTCTGTGAGTAGGCAGCACCGTTCAGGATTAACTTGGATTAAACGCCATTTATTCAGCACTTCTGCTGCAACTTCCTTACATGTGTTTAACAGTGTGTAGATTATATTTTAATTGTACATATTAGCTGCTCCCAGCACCTCTACCTCCCCCACATAAAAGGTGTGAGGGTGTAAAAACGTCCCGAGCTATTGAGCATGGACAGCAGATGTTGTAGGTTCACTCACAGGCTGCTAAACTACAATAATAAGCTCAGATCTGGCAAGTCTGTGTTCTCAGTTGTGTTGAGATACTTTAGTTCAGTCAGTTCATCAAAGAAATGTGTTGTGATTTCACAGTAATCAATAATCGACAGCAGAAAGTCTACATGTTGCTAATTTTGTAAGTTCAGATTGTTTACTAATAATCAGTAGGTTAATAGCAGCATTTGAAGGCTTTCAAAGTCCAGTTTCAATCACCAAAATACTGTCTGAAACAAAAAATAAATACATTAAACACTAATGAAATATGAATTGGGCCTCACGGGGCAAACATGCATTGTTTTTGTGGAGACTGTTGAGAAAATGCATTGTTTGTAACAGTGTATTCTGAAGCTCTCTGAGTGCTCAGTCAGACTGGGAGAAGTGCTCTAAAAATGCCAGACCAGCTCCTCCCCGTGACTGATCAGCCCCTGATCGTTACCTGACGTTGTCGTGCTTTTGGATGTAGATCTTGTGAAACATCATGTCTTCCTGCTTGGCGTTTATGTCAGCTTTCATCTCCATGGCAACATGGCGAGGAAGCACTGAGAGCAGCAGACGTTCCTGCAGGAAAGAGAAGGAGCCGTAAGTTCAAAGGTCAAGTGAGCGTGTTAATAGATGAGGATTGTAGCCACATTACGGGAGACTCAATCTGAATAAGTAAAGAAGGAAACGCCGATAATTTAACGTTGATTCCAATTTGCCAGTGCGAGCTCAAAGTCATTTAGAGAGGGCCGTGAGAAGCTTCAAAACTTGTCACTGCCTTAGTGCGAACTGAGAATATTTGTCCCAAGGTCATTTGTGGTTGTGCTGATTAACTTGCAATATAAAATCTGGACATTTTGTTCCCATTGTTCAATAATAATAATAATAATAATAATAATACAGTATAACCTTCAAAATGCCAAAGACAGCATGACCTCTTTCTTTGCTGCTATGGCGAAAAAATACGGGCCATACTCTCAACAGCTGAATTACAGACGTTATCAGGTCATGACATTTTGAAATGCATGAAAAGCTGAGCTGCATATTTTTGCTTGAATGTCAGGTAAAAAATAATAAAAACCTATACCAAAACAAAACAATAAGCAGTTTTAATTCCTTCATTGTTGGATTGCAGGTGAATGACGTGAGAAAATGAGCTGCAAGACGAGTTTCAACCTGAACAAATTTAATTTAAAATTATAAATGAATAGTCTGTACTGTATAAAAATGTCATGCTAAATTATTAAGGTGACAATAATACTTCTTCACTAAAGATTCTCTCTCACCCTGGAGCTCATTTCCTTTTCTTTCTTCTTTTTTCCAATAACCATCAGTTCTATATCAGTCTTTGGCTACGCATGCGTCTCATGTTTGCACAGTATCGCCTAATCTCTTTGCACCACACGCTTCTTGTTTAATTGTTTGCATTGTTGTTTAATGGCGGCTGGCAAAAAGCTTCTAAGTGCATTAACGTAATCTTCTAGTGGGCATAGGACACCACTACAGGGAGAAGGTAAACAAGGGCAAAAGCGATATTTTAAGACAAGAAATAATCACAGAATCATAACTTGACTTTGAACCTGTTAATATTACGACCATCCCTGTGAACACAGTTCCTGTCTACTGTTGATTGTTCGATATAGCGATATAAATGTGTACTCACTATAAAACTTTGTGGTGTTTGACATAATTTTGAAGCACATCATGGGTGGGACGACATTATTATATGTGAAGCATTTCTTTAATAAAAAGTTTGCTTGATTTAATCAAACAAACTTTTCTTTTGTCACCAGAGCTTTCTCTCTCTCTCACCTGCTGCTGATTTTCCCTCTGGGAGTGGAGGCGAGCCTGGATGCATTCCCTGGTCTCCTGAAAGGCTTGCCTCTGGGAACCCTCAGCAGGGTAATGGGTGCACACGCCCACGATGTTGGTGCAGGAAAAGATCAGCACGTTGGACACTATCTGTGGAAGAAGGTGGGAGTGAGAACAGGGTTTCCATGTGAGCCAGGGATGAAACGCTCCTACTGTTGCTTGTCATTTCCCTTTCTCCCTACAACGTTACTGAAAACTGACTCTTGGCCAATCAATCAAGAACATAAGTAGATCTTTTTTCTTACACTATAATATAATGATTCATTTGAGTCCCAGTAGGTGCCGCTCACTTAGAGTGAGCTATACAATACAGACAAGTGAGGTCAAAAGTAACCTCCCAGTATAGAGGAAATGTCTTTTGGAGTACCGAAACACAAAATGACTCAAACAAAATACAGAGAATACACGTGCGTGCTACTTCATCTCCTCAGGTCTGGGTGAAACTTTGGTGCCGCGATATGAAAGCAGTGTTTCTTCATTGCACCTTTGCGTCACTCGTGAGTCGCGCGTCTGAAACTGCTTGTTCTACTCGCTGTACAAGACTTGCTAACATATGACGGCCAAAAACAGAAGGAGGCACAGTGCTAAACTCGGCGGGATTCCTAACTCAGTGTGCATGCAGGTGTTATTAATATTATGCAAAACTGCACCTGGCACAGAGTTCTTAAAAAAGCAACGGAAACAGCACTAGCAGATGGAGAGGTGTGATCCACACAAGCTAAAAAGAAAAATGAAGGGAAAATATGTTACAGTATTTAAGAGTATTAATTCTGCAAGTAATGTCTGGAAAAGGACTTTTACACTCATACAATCATTCACCCTACAGATTAATTTGCTATTGCTATATTTCTTATGTTTGCTTTCATGGAAGAAAATTGTTAGTATTTAAGTGGAATCTTTTCTTTTTAAATCACATTAAGAAACTGTATTTGGTGTGCAAATGATTGCACAGTCGTCAGAATATTAGTTTGGGCTATTTTCAGAGTGGGGTGGTGATTAGTAAGACGTCACAGCGAGAAGGTCCGGGGTTTGAGTCCACCATCTTTCTGTGTGGAGTTTACATATTCTCCCCGTGACTTCCTCCCCCCACAGTCCAAAGACATGCAACTAGTGGGGTTGAGTCAACTGGTGATTCTAAATTGGCCGAATTGTGTGAATGAGAGTCCTGCTGTCTCTCTGTGTTAGCCCTGTGACTGAAGACCTGTCCAGGGTGTAGGTGTACCCTGCCGCTCGCCCTGTGCCAGCTGGGATATGATTCTGAGAATCCAATAAATCCAATAAACTATAAACTTCTTAGTAAAAATTCTTAACTTATGACCAAAAATGGCCTCACGAGGTTATAGTGACCTTGGCCTTGGAATATCACAATTTTTTTTATCAGTTCTTTGAATCCAAGTGAATGCTGTATCAGCTCCAGAAGAAATTCCCTCAAGGCAGGAGCGACAGATGGACAAACAAAGAAGACATTTAAAGAAGTCAGTGGATAAGCTGTCGACTATTTTCTGACTTTTTATTGACCAAATATAGTCAAATATAGTTATAGTGCTAATAAAAAGCTGCAGAGGGGTAGAATGGTGAGTTGCGATAATGAGAAAGTGAACTATGGAAATACATAGCTGATCAAAACTTTTAGTAAGTATGATCTCAAATATGTAGTTAAAGGCAAACATTTTACACGAATATTAAGTGTTTCTTTTTTAGAGGCTAAATGAAAATGCAAAGTAAGGATATTTACACTTTACATATGCAAAAGTGACATAAACGACTTGACAAAGGTAGAAAGCGGTGTATATTTTCCACATGTGCCTTTGTTTTCCCTCTAAGAGCAAAGGCACTCTTTGTTTCCACGAGCTCCACTGATGCACTTCCTTCTCCTTAGGCAGGACTGAGGTGTCTCAACCTGCTTTTTTGACTTTGACACAGCTTCCATCAGATTATCCACCTAAAACCCCGACAAGGCGCTGTCTTGTTTCTGATTAGAAGATTCAACAGAGGCCAACTCACATGATCCCAGTGTGAATGTTTGCATGTGATGAGGCAGAGATAATCAGTGTGTTTATCAGTGGCACTGCACTAACACAGGGACAAAATCAACACTTTCCAAAGCTGCCATCATAAACGGCAAAAACGTACAAAAACTAATTGGTGGTTTTAAACCCAGATCTGCGCTCAGTGTCGAAGACCACGAGAAAGAGTTAACACGGTTAACGCTTGTTAACCGTGTTAACGCTTGTTAACCGTGTTAACTGTTGTTAACCGTGTTAACTGCCTCTGTTCAGATAAAATTTGCATAAGCCGAGTCTATAAAAGTTTATCTAACGTTTAACATGTAACATCGTCCTGAGAATACCCAGACATTTTTAAGGCACCTGGTTTACTGCTAGCTTTCTGTACCCTGACTTAAAAACAAAACACAAAAAGTATTAATTGTTAGTCATGGAAATGACTAACTGGGCTTTTGATCATGCAGGATAAAGACTTCAGATCGTTTGCCATTGCTGCTAAGTCACAAGATGAAAGGAAATTTGACATTAGATGAAAGTAAAACCGAACCTCTTCAATATGGCTATTTGCATTATTAAGATACAACATCCATCCTCTAACCAGGCTTTCAGCTTACGCGTACACAAACACTGACACATGTGTTTTATGATCCCTTTGTGAACAGGATCATAAAGCAGTATATTAAATCTCTACTAAAGCTAAAACAAGTAATGAGTAATGACTCAGAAATAAAGTAAGGTTTACAGAGAAAACTGATTACTGAGCCGCTGCATTTAATGCAGGCTTACTGTAGTGACACACTGTCCAGTTATGTTCCTAGCATCCAACAGTTAGTAGAACAGGAGAGAGAGCTGTTCATCTGTGGGAAACCCCATTCTGAGGCACGTTTCCACATCTAGGCCTTAAGAAAACTCGATTTATTTTATTTTATTTTTTTTAATTTACAGGAAAAAAGGCGTCTCCGGGTTTCATTGACTCTGTCCAAGTTTCCACCTATCAAACAGCTTCGCAAGTTGCCGTGTGCCCAAAGCACCAGTGCTAAAAGACATTGTTTCCATTCAGTTGCAGGCATACAGTGAGTCCTGGGACTGGCAGCCAGCAGCAAGCCACAGCCAGTGGGCCATTCTTTTCTCAGAGTTATTTAATGGGTTGAATCAGCCAGCTGAATCACATTAACACCACAGGCCTCAGTGTTGCCGGAACAAACACAGCACGTCTTTATCAAGTCAAAAACCCCTCAGCAGGTCTCCATGCAAAAGAAAAAAAAGGGAAAAAACAACCAGACTCATAAGGAGGAGTGGCTGGCGGAAGGCAAACCTGGAAGTGAGACACAGCCAACAACCAAAAAAAAGAAAATGAGGCATAAGGCATGAAAGGTGCTGAATTTAGAAAAGGTTGCTCTTTGCCATTTCTGCTTCTTGTCTAACTGAAACACTGTTTAGATGAACTGGACCAAACCAAAGAAGACTAATGACTTTTTAGATAAAGTCAAGAGTTGAGAAGTCCTCCTGCCCACAAAGGTTTGTTTCCCATCATGTTCCAGCTACTGGTCTTTCAGCTTCTCTGCTGATCCTTTAACATAAATGCTCAAACTGTTACAGTGAATTACATCTATAAACTTTACTCAGTGCATGCATATGAACATGTTTAGATGTTCCTAAAACCTTTACAGAAAAGCTGAATGAAAAAAAATGAACGAAGAACTGAACGGATTTTATGATCCAGTTGAAAAAGTCTTTTTTTTTTTTTATCCAAACCTTTCTTGGAAACAGGTTGTACAAGACTAAAGTATCAAATTTTGCATTCAAATTATTATCCTTCTTCAACTAATATTACTGCATGCAAAAATAATAATAATACAAATTTTGTGCTACAAAACCTTAAACCTGAAAGTTTTTCAAAGACCCTGACATCACACAAGTGAATACGGGTGTATTTGACAGCTGGATCGAAAGCATTTCATAGCAACCATTATGTCTGTGAGCCTGAGAGGGTCTCGTTTGCATAACAAATGTGTCTGAATTTACAGTGGAGTGAGTACTTATTAGCTGTACGAACAATTGCCGTGTAGCATGAAACCCTCGATAGCTGAAGCCTCACTGCTACAGTAGGGTGTCGAGATCTGTATGTTTCCCAACACTCTTGCTAGGAAACGCGTGTTGCTGTTTGAAATTTGACATTTAAAAGGTGGGCTCTTGCTACCTGTGGCGTAGCTGGTTAACGTCACTCTAATTATGATTTACTTGAAGCTAACCAGCCAGCTAAAGCTGCTCATGGATCTCCACGGAGCCCTTGTAGCATCCCGCCCCCACACTGCCATAGAAACAGCACGGATCACATAAAGTCTTTCAACAGGTCAATAGAAATTTTCCCCAGCGGCAGTCTTATTCTATTAATACTGCCAGCACTCACCCAGACCTTATTTGGAAACCTATGGGCTTTTCCTCACCACAGAGGGAAAGTGAGAGTGCAAAAAAAAGGAAAAAGAAAGAAAAAAAGGGATCCCATGTTTAAAGCGGAGCTCATCCCCAGGGAAGAACACAGACATCTATCATCTAATAACTACAGAGGAAAACATAGCCAGCCTAAACTCAGCTCAAAGCCCCCACATGATCAAGGACCTGTGATGCTGCCGCAAGCAAGACGCTAAGCATCATCACACAACAGGCAGATTTCAAGCTAGGTAAGAAAAAACAGATAAGACACTCCTGTTATATCCTCGTTCGAGGGATCAGCTGATTGATGGAGGCCACTGCAGCAATCAGGACCAGCCAATAGACATGTTGCATGTAGACAACACTCAATACACTCAGTGTGTCTCTGTGAGGTCTCATTTGTAAACAGGGCCAAGCGGCTCACGAACACATTATCACAAGAGGTCTATAAAACAAAAGGAGAGATTTATGGGAAATCAGATGCACAGCATGTGATTTACTGCATGCATAAATGAACATTTTACAGTTTTACAACTATTGCTAACTTTTCCCAGAAAGCTGCATTATTTTTGAACTGATTTCATTCTGCGAGAACAGTTTCCTAATTTAAAGATGATTGAAATTATAAGAATCTTTTCAAAATTTCTAGGA